TGAAGCGGCCGAACAACTACTCTCCATATTGCTTTCGTCTGTAGGCAACTTCCCAACACCCAGCGGTTTAGACTCTACCGACGCACGTCTCACTGAACGACACCTGGTGGAGATGCTCGCCAGGCGCAAGACGCAAGATAAGTCAAGACGACAGGCCCCTACCAGCCCTCACCACCGATTCCGTTATTTCTGGGACAATGCCTCCCTGCTGATGGGTATTTTGGAGGAGCCCACTAATGGTACCGCGACTGCTGGGTCCACCGACCCCGGCACCAACAGAAATGGTGCGGTGCCACAGTCGTTCGTCGATCCGCCCAGTGTACTGATTGTCCTGCGGGGAGACAGTTTTGGGCCTCAGGTGTGGTCCTGCAAGCCGCGTTTTCTACCACGTACTCCGCCAAATTCACTTCCTGCCGTCAACTCCGCGGCAGTATCGCAGGAAAAAACGCTGCTTCAGCCTCCCGTTTCCTTCTTAGAGTCGGTCTACGCTGTAGATGCACCTGTGCGGCGCTTCTCAATCAAGCCGTCAGAGTCCCTCTTTATGCCGCGTTCTAAGCACAACATTCCTCTCGTGCAAGCGTAAGTGGTAGAATATTAAATCTTCTGTCTCCTTCATTATGCATGGCTGTAATACCGCCAAAAAGTTTGTTGCTTTCTGCCGCATGGCCACCTTTCCCCATACACTTAGTCATATAGACAGAACCGTGGTCCTGAGAAGGCTCTGCGACCCAGTTTTCTAGTCTACGAGTTCACTTTTGATTCCCAGGCCCCAGCCACCGTCCGGCCCGGTCAGTCGACTGGTTCGGAGAATGGACGAAACTGCTGATATATCTAATGGTCTCGCCTGCGTGTACTATATACACGACGTAGCTCACCAAGCACAAACATCTGGATTTCTCATAAATGGAGGCTGAGTGACACATCTTAAAAGAAGGGGTTCCACAGGTCACGTTAAGAGGGAACCATTGCGGCCTGACTGTCAGACCACCAGTCGGTCACTCCACACGAAAACACGCTGGACTGACTTTGAAGTCTGTTTTCCATATTCAGTTGGCAACCTTCTAAGTCATTACATTTAGCGCAGTATGACAGTCTCAAGCTGTGATCACACATGCAGCAGTAGCAGCTTTATTGACAGTCTTAGTTGTTGGCCGTACTTTTGTTGACCCGCAAAAGCAGTGGCATGTGGTTCCGCGTGACTTCTTTGCCAAAATTTACTGTGTCGGCCGTAATCCAAATGAAATCCACCGCGATGCGGCTGTACCATCGTCCGTAGTTAAAACGGAGCGTTTATCTGCCGCACGCCTGAAGAACAGTGTTCAATCACACGGAACGCGGCCCGGTACGCTGTCATGTTACTGAGTCTACTTCCGACCGTATGGACAAGCCTATTTACATTTGAAACTGGCGACCAATAATCTAAGCCCAAAGTGCCGATCTAAATGAGTGTGATGTCTAGGAGCATGCAGGCGCACGCCATGAGAGCCAGGGTCCGTGCCACTGTGTCCTCTTGTTTTTATGTTATGTTACAATATAATTCACCGTGCTTTAATTTAGCCGGCCGTGAAGCACGCGATGGACATCGTCGAAACTTCTGTTGTCCAGCAACGCTTCCGACAGAAGAAGTGTGCAAGCAGGAGTCTGAATTTAGATGATTTTGCTACGGTTGTCATGTGTTCGTGGAAATGGTCCAACATCTGATTTGGACAAACACAGGGCCACCGTGGTCACGCGGTTAAAAAGACTAACTGCAATATTGTCCTTCTTCTTTAGAGACAAAGTCATACCCTCGTTGGAGGGAATCTGTCCCGTGGGCACCAGGGCCCGCTCCGAGGTGGACCTCCTAAAGTCCTTCATAAACAAGGAGGTTGAACGTGATGCCGCTATCCACCGCAAGATTAAAGAGCGTCGCCGCAAGAATACCATCGTCTACAAGTGTGATCCGCAAAAGTCAGTATTTCATCTCTACTCTCGTCCACCCCTTTTTCGATCTTACAATCTCATAAATTGTTTTTTTTTGCTTAACTGCCAGAATTGTATTCAGAGTAGTTTTCAGTAAGTGTTCAGTAGGGATACAAAACACGTTTTTGTCATTCTCAAGAACTGCTGGCATCAAAGCCCAGCAGCTGTTCCATTTTGATGGTTCTGTCGGGTTGGTTTGACCAACCCCTCTGGTCAACGCTCTCTTGCTTTTCAGTCTATCTAACGACAACTTTTCTAGTTAGATGGTGCCGATTGAGGTCGTTTCAGTCACCCCTACCTGTCCGAGCCTCAAAACATTGTATTTGGCTTCTCGGCCTATTCAGCGTAAATTATTTAAGACGTTCAAAAGTCACTCTAACTTCATCACCTCTCTGACATTTGTTAATTTGCCGCCCTGCATTTTTCACCTCCCTCCCCCGCTTCCGAATATGTCAAGGACTGTGACAAACTCCACATCCGCTCACACACTCCTCTCGCATCTCGGTTATGTCCCAGTGAACCGTCTTCTTTCTGCGCCGTCATACCGAAGATCTGTCACTATGCCCACCGTCAACTCCGCCAACCAGGCAGTCCCCAATCCGAATCCGTCTGGTTCAGCACTCCGGGTTCCAGACCTCCTGTGTGATCTAACTCCCATAGCATCGGAGGCGTCAGACTTTCGGGGTCGCCTGGACACTTTTGATTGCGCCATTTTGCGCACTACGAGCACATTACTGATTTTTTATGTGCGCAAGGGTCAAACAACCCTCAGCAGCGTGATCGGCAATATGGTAAGTCTTGGAACTTAGTAAATTCTGGTCGTTCAGCCTTTAAGGTATAACTAACTTTTTCCTAAAAATGCATTGCAACAGGCATCCTGGTCGCAATTTCCAAAGCAGTTCGCATCTTTCGTTCGGTCCCTTGGCTGGCCAGTTGATTGTAGCAAACACTACGGCTGGGCAGCAAATGTATCCAGCAAAACGCATGTGGATAATGGCCGTATCTCGAGTTTCGATTACGCAAACTCGGGCAGTGCCAAACGCGTATCTCCACCGGATGGTTCCGACTACCTTATGTACTGGGCAGATGTGGCTGTGGAATTTGCTGCCGTCTGTCCGTCAAACAGGACCGAATTCCGATCAGTTCAAGGTAAGATTGCCTGTTTAGTGGCCTAATGGGAGAAAGACTGATTTATTTCATTGCCGGCTACAATTAATTTGCTTTAC